CCTCATATTCGTGCCTTTCTAGTCGGCGGTATCTTCACGCGCGGGCCTGGCCTCACCTTTTTTGAAGCCATCGCCGTCCAGAGTATAGGACGCATCACACCTCAAGACGCTGGTATTTGGTCTGACGAGCACATCGAACCGCTGGCCAAGATTATCGAGTTTGCCCACACCCAGGGGCAGAAAGTGGCCATCCAACTCGCGCACGCTGGCCGGAAGGCTTCAGTTACCGCGCCCTGGATCGAAGGAGACCCCTTGTCGGGTGTTGAAGTTGGTGGATGGCCCGATGATGTGTGGGGGCCGTCGACCGTGCCATACAGCGATGCTGTGGCCAAGCCGAAGGAGCTTACGACGGAGCGTATCAAGGGAATTGTGCAGTCGTTCGTGGATGGCGCCGTGAGGGCGGTCAAGGCTGGCTTTGATGTGATCGAGATTCACAACGCGCACGGGTATCTTTTGCACCAGTTCCTGAGCCCCATCAGCAACAAGCGCACAGACGAGTATGGCGGCAGCTTCGAGAACCGCACCAGGCTGACACTGGAGATCGTCGACGCGGTTCGCGCTGTTATTCCCAAGGACACGCCTCTCTTCCTCAGGTGCGTCTCTCTCATAAATATTGCAAGTTCGAAATCATATTGATCCTTCAACTAGGATTTCTGCGACCGATTGGCTTGAGGAGACCCTGCCGAACGAGCCATCCTGGACCTCTGCAGATACCGTTCGCTTCGCACCCATCCTATTCGAGCACGGCATCGACTTCCTCGACATCTCCTCTGGCGGCACGCATCCCCTTCAAAAGGTTAAGGGCGGGCCCGCATACCAGGCAGGCTTCTCCGAGGCTGTAAAGCGCTCTCTTCCCGAAGGACATGGCCTGCTCGTCGGCACTGTTGGGCAGATTACTAGCGGGCACATCGCGCAGGCCGTCCTTGACAAGGGCCAAGCCGATGCAGTATTTGTCGGACGGGGATTCCAGAAGAACCCGGGGCTTGTTTGGACGTTTGCGGATGATCTTGGTGTGGAGATCCACCAAGCTAAGCAGATTGGTTGGGGCTTTGCTGGCAGGGCCGTGAAGGCGTATGGAGGCGAGGAAGAGAAGTAAATTGACACTTACTGTGTTGCTTTGACATAGACTACTATTTAAACTCCCATCATATACCACTGCGCGAATGGCTGATTGATAGAGTCGATTTTCAATGGAATGTTCCCAAGACCTTTCCTCTAAATCGAGTATGGGCGCGTTTTTGATAATTTACATGCACAGTGGTGATACAAACCATCTTTCTCTGATCTCCATACATTCACGGATAGCGACGTTCTATAATCGTGTGGCGCAATATATATCTCCCGAAGGCTCTTTCGCGGAGGTTTCCGGGAGTTGCATTTCCATGTGCGTTTTTGTCGTGTCTACAGCGGATAGAATTGTGGAGGTGGTGGTCCGTTCAGAGTTTGAGTCGCGTAGATGACGCTCCCAGCGAAAATGGCTCGTCCAGAGGCTTGTCGTCGTGGTACCATTTGGAGCGACCGCCAAATCCCCGACATCGGAATGATAGCTGGCAAATCGGAGGGGGCCGCTGGGTCCCACATTTCTCTTCGTCTCGCGGCGAATTTGAAGCAGTGAAGTGATGACGACTGGAATATTGCAGACGACGAGGGACACGCAGACCTCGACAATAGCAGCAATAACCACTCTATAGTCCCTGTACAAGCGAATCAATACTGTCAACAATGTTTCAAATGATATATGTAGGTAAAAAAAAAAAAAAGCTCACGGGTGGACGAAGAGGAGAGCTGCATGTACAAGAGACACAACGGTGGTGACGAGGCAAGTAGAAAAGATGATAGATAGCCTTCGGCGGAGACTCTGGTCACTCAGGCGTTGGATAACCTTAAGTGGAGAGATAATGAGAATCATATCCGCCAGCACGTCAGCTACACTGGATCCGTGAGTGCCAACGATAGCTTCATCGATAAAAATGAATGAAATCAGACACTTACTGACGAGCTGCAAAATAATTACCTCGCGCGTGAGGCGGCACTGCGGATAGCGTCTTTCCTTCCAGCGTGGCTGTGGCTCGCACACCCAGAATAGCTGGGATACGAGGACAATAGGGAGGATGGCGAAGCAGCTAGCAACAAGGAATAGGCGTCGCCGTCGATTTGCGCATGGATCGATTCGGATGATCGAAAACAGAATAGAAAGTCTAGCAAACCTGGAACACGGTAAATGGTTGATGAATGAATGTTCAGAGCCTCGGAAAAAGCGCGACAATACCAAATGACGGCATAGAAAGCTGCGGCCATGATGTAGTAGAACGCGATCATGACATCTTGTTGGTTCGAGTGTGTGATGCGTACGAACGCGCCAGTGAAGAGGAGCAATTGCGCGATGGCTGAAAGAAACGCCCATGCCTGCATGAGGAATTTAAATGATGAGTCCTTGGTTAGTATTAGTTAGGAACCGCATTCGAGGAAAGCGCACATCATCAGCCCAATATCGCCCTCGTCGGATCCAGAGTCGATATATTGTCGTTGCGATTGCAGGTATAGTACACGCGACGGATGTAACTGAGCATTAGTAGGTCACACTTCGCACATCAAGGCATGAAGATGAAGATGTATTGGCGTACTTCCGATCTTAACGAGAGGGTTGGAGACATTGAACATGGCCAAAGGGATTTTTTACAGTCATAAGGTGAGAGTACCCATGATATAAGGACACAGAGACACCCCAAAACACCCTCACGACTGGCATAGTCTCCGATGTGCCTCGTGAGTAGGTTCGAATAAGGGTGGAAGAATCTGACATTCTTCTCAGGTTCGTCAGGTTCATCGTGATGATAAATTGACTAGTACTGCAGGGACCCTCCGAGTCCAGTGATCGTAATTTTTACAAAGAGCGTCGAGACTCGATGCTGCATGAGGGATCCGGATACAAAGAGCGAGCGATATGGAATTTCACCTGAGAATGGAGATTTTGATCTTGGAGTGGAAAGAGTTCAGAGACAATGTTCCTCCCAAGGCCGCTTGACCAATGAGCACACTTGCAACGACGAAAACTTGAAGTGAGAAACAGCCACAGTGAACCGTGGTAGACTCTGTCTTAGAAAACGCACTGATGCCTAAAGAGGAGACGTCCCTCAAGCGAGCTCTGGAGAGCATGACGGCGCGTTTAAATAGTCAAAGAGCCATCTGGTCATGGTCATAATCATATTGTGCCTGCCGAAGTCGAAAGGCGAGACCAGCCTTGGTGAACGAGATTCGACCCTATCCGAATGACCGATCGCGACATCCACAAGATAGATTCGAACGTTTGTGAACGCTGACGCAGATTTCGGATTCGATGGGAGCAGGGAATTGGAATCAGAGTAGGCTCGCAACAGAAAGTTGAAAGGAGTCCACTGTTTGAATGTTCAAGCTCACAGTCCAAGGCAAAAAAATGGTGGGCGCGAGATTCATTGGTGATTCATGAAGTCGGAAAATGCCGAAGGTACCTGTCTCTTCTTCCAAGTGAGGCCATTTCCTAGCCCCCTCTCCCCTCCCATGACTCCACTCGCATACATGTGTTCTAGCCATGTAAGACGAGGAATTCGAGTATTCCATGAACGTCCCCGACCTGCCGTCCCGCGACGTCATTATCGAAACGTGCGCCACTGCTGGGTTCACCAAGAGTGGCGTCTGTATCGAGGTCGCAGGCAAACCTCGCTTCTGGGTCAAATACGGCGCCTCTGTCACATCAGGTGAGGGCCGCACTCAGGCTCAGGTGGCCCAATCTTGAACGCCGACGTTTCGACCGTCGTCCGCGTTCCATAGGTCTACCTTATCTTCTCGCACGGGAGATGCTGGTACATTGTTATGGAATACGTTGAAGGTAGTGCAATCGCGAATCGGAAGGTGTCCATGGGCGATTACGAAAATGATGACCTGAAAGCCGTTGCTGCTGCCGTTAAGCGGCTCACTGACATCCGAGTACCTGCGGATACACTCCTTGGCTACGTCGGCGGCGGACGCATTGATAACGTCTTCTTCGACGAATGTATGTCATCGCACGAATACCCTACAGCCAAGCATCTCAAGAATCAGATAAACAGGGTATGTTTTGCGTTTTCGTTCAGTACTGTATATTAACGAAGTTCATGTGCCCTGGCAATAAAAATAAGTTGGTTCGTCCTCGAGGGCATAGTTTTGATTTTCTTCGCGAGAGTCCAAACGGCCTCGTCCTATGTCTATCCGACCTCGACGATTCCAATTTTATCGTCGATGGTAGAGGAAACCTTTGGTCCATCGACTTTGGCCGCACCGGCTATATGCCGCCTTCGTTTGTTTCCTACTCGTTCAGGAAGTCGTGGAAGCCCTTTCCGTACCTGGTGGAACGACTTGTCGAACATCCGCCATCTCCTAACTTGCACGCGATGGATGTGGCCGCAGTTCTATTCATAATTAGTGGTAATAACTCCTTAGGTAAGTAGCCGTTTCTTATAGCTTTCGAGCATCCATCCCTCCTCTCCCTTTTATCCCCGTACCTTGCTCCCCAGTTGAATTCATCGGGATGATATAGACACCTATGTCTTGACCCGTCACCTTAATTTTTTTGGATCGTGGCAACTGGCTAACATATCTTTGTGCTTTCCTAGGCATTTCGAGTCCGCGGGCTCCAGCCTCAGCTTCCCGCCACTGAAGCGTCTAGTAAATGCGCCGAAATCTTGCATCTCACCACCACCTCAAGCTACCCACCGGGCCAGAAGTGCGGGGGGCCCGCCAAAGAACTAGTGGTGAGTTGACATGAAACACAGTAGAAATATAGTAGACGCTGTATAGTTGGAAGGGTTGCAATTGGTTGAGGCTTGGTCGAGCTCGCTCTGACTTGTGAGCTGGAGGGAGGTTCTAGGCTATCTTGTAGTTTGAAGGCGTGTAGATTGATATGACTCTTGTCGGCAAGGTGTCGAAATAAGGTGCAAAGCATCGATCTGAGAGGAGCAGAGGGATACTGCAGTTGGCCAAAAAGTTTCGGGTACGGGGAATCGAACCCCGAGCTGCCGCGCACGATGATTGAGAGGCGGCAATGTTAGCCGTTACACCATACCCGACTACGACAACAAGGATTAAAAAGCCCTTGACTACTTTTGGACTCGATATGGATACTTAGTATTGTGGATTTAAGACCGTTTGGCGCGAGAGCGAAGTGGGGATTTAGAACACCTGAGGCCGAACTGTGCGATTCGCGCAGGCAGGTGCGACGTGTGCTAGGGGAACAGGCGGGGTTGGCGTGAGCTGTGCGATCGGGCCAGGTCGTCCGTCGCGCATGGGGCACGCATCGGCCATTTTCCTCCATTTTAACTCTTGCTTGTCCGTCCCACCTGTACTTAATACACGGCTCATCTTTGCTGGTTCCCTTTTCTGAATCTTTTTTTTTTCACAACTGAGAGCCATTTGCTAGCACCGACGGCCTTGCTCTGCACGTCGTTACATGCATCGAAGCATGCATGGGCCATCATGCAAGGCTTGAAGCTTAGGACTGGAATGTACGAAATATTTATATACTTATCTGCTTCCTCCCTGACCCACACCTCTCTCTGCAATGGTTGCTTTCAATCTTGACCCAGCCGATTTCCACATAGACAACATCGGACAGAAGATCAAAGACGCCACTGCTTGTCAGCGTAAGTACGCAAAGGGGAATCAGGCCGTAAAGAAGAGTATGGGTGGAAAAGGTGAGGCTGTATCTCTGTCACACCACGAGCTTGAGCTAATCGAGTATTAGCATTCAAAACTGCG